TGCGTCCGAAATACCTCTTTAGAATCCATCTCTTGTTCTATCCGACTCGCCAATACGTCAGTAGACTCCTTGGAAACGGTGGTAGTGGACAGCCGCTCCCAATATGTCTCTTCTACAATCTTGACCCATTCCCGATCACCCCAGCGAGAACCCATCCCAGCTGTGTCCGTAATGGTGGGTGTCGCTTCTGCTTCAGATGCCAATTTGGTAGGTCGTCGCGCTTGTCCTCCACCATTGACACACCCAGCAGGACATGCCATGACTTCGACATAGTCATAGGGCCTGTCCTCTCCCACAACAGCAGTAGGAGCAGCAGCATCTGTCTGACTGGTATCTTTTCCCCGTCTTGCTCGGAGTGCCATCGCCGCACCCGTCACACGACCTCTGCCTCGGCCAGGCCCAGCGCTACTCCCTTTAATACCCGTCTCTTTAGCCACCTTGCGCACGATATTTTGCAGATTTCGAAATCCGTAACATTTAGCTCCGCGAAACACGACTTCAGCTTGGCCGTCTGCGGCGATAGCTTCGACGGTCACCTCTTCGTAGTCTGCGGACCGAATGATCTTGCTCTTCACCGAGCAATCACGGCCACTTTCCTTCTTTTCTCGTTCTTGAACATGATCCATGATGGCTTGTAACCAGCTCCCAGAACTGGACCCCTGGTGAGGGACAAAGTTTGGAATCCCAAACGATTCTGTAGGTGTAGAGGGTGTAGCAAGGTCACTCAAACCCCAATTCCTTTCCTGCAATAACAACTCTAGCTCTCCGGTAGTGATGACACAATCGACGTCTCTAGTTCGGTATTGCTCGCTATAAAAGTCTTGCCGTGACGCTTCTAGCTTCTTGTCATAGCAAGGCATGACCGTAACATGATACATTTGATCTGGCCTGGGAATAGTCAATAAGTATCTTAAATCATCCTTCGTGACACTCACCTCTTTCCCAATTTCGCAGCGACCCAATTCTTGACCAATGTGCCCATGATTTGCTGAGGGCTCTTTGTATTACTGATAAGCGGCAACATCTCCGCATGTGTCTTTTCCGCATAACAAATCCACCCAGGGCAAGCACTAGCCAGCATCGGCAACGCAGGTTCAGACGCCTCACCATTTTTTTTACCGTTCCTGGCCCGCTCTTTCCTTTCTTCAAATTCGCGAACGTGCTCTCGCAGTGCAATATGTCGAGCAAACGTCGTATCAAAGACCAACTCGAACCCCAACTCCTCGACCGCAAACGCCCTAAGCCGCTCCCACACGTGAGCGAGCGTCACCACGCCCATCGGATCTTTGCTCGTAGACGCGACTCGGGCGGTTGACGCTAGAGAGGCGATAGATTGGGGAGAGATGGATAGAACGGGGATGCGGTGGTCTGGTGACGATGGTGGTGGATTGGATTTCAAGACGCTCATGACTTCCTCATGTGATTGCATCTGGATAAGTACTGTTTCAGCAGAAGTGATGCATCCACTGTAATAAAAAGTTTGATCAGAGATGATTTTATGGCAATGTAAGAGCATACCTGCAGGCAAGGCAGTCATTGAGACTGATCTCGGCCTTTTCCAACTTTCTGCTCTTCGGTTTCGTATCGCTCGTCTCCATTTCAACTTCGTGATAAACACCGGACGAGTCTACTGTGATCAGTGTCTAAATTTTCGTGTGAATCATGGAATCATCCGTATTCGTTGGGACACGCACTGATGCGAGGCCTTTTGCATCTGGCGGAGGGACATTTTTAGTCTCTACTGGTTTTATACATGCTTGAGATGGTGTGATGAAATCGTTCAAATCTGTCAAGGTCTCGAATCTAATGTCAGATAGGTTTTACGAGGTGATGGATTTGCTTACCAAAGCACCTGAAAATGCCATCTTGAGCGACTACCTTTCTGGTTAGGCAAAGTTGAGGTTGAAAGGAATAACGATATTTGTGGTAGATGCAAAATGATGATTAATATACACTAAGACGGTGAAGGTCAGGTTCAAGTTCCATACAGCGGACCGGCTCTCGGCCGAGATAGTCTGTCCTCCCTTTCTGACCACGCGACGGCAAGTTCTAGCGAAACGAATCAAGAAAGAGACTGTCCATTTCAGAAACTACAGGAGGATACAATACAGACATGTAACATGGAGACTGTCTAATCAATCCAGGACTTCTTACCCATTAGCTGGATAGCGCTAGGTATACGAGTGAAAACTACGTTTTGTGTCAAAATTATGGAGTTGTTTATCCTGTGATCGCCACTGTGATCATGAAGAGTGTCGAACCCAAGAAGCGGATGATATTGGTGATAGCAACAAAGGCCAAGACAAAGGTCATATATGCGCGTGTCTTTTCTCCAGCTTTGGTCTTGCCAAATGTGTCTTTTGCGTTGACACCACTGAGGATGCACCCGACCAACAACGCGTTACTCAAGGCCCACGCCAGCAAGAGCTAGATCGACAAATCAGAATTGACACAAGGTGAGAAAACAAAAAGGCCTACGTTTGTTCTTATATTGGCATAATAGTCTCTCCTCACTTGCTCCTTCTCTGTTTCAGTGAGGCCGCCAGGAGCTCGCGGAGGTGGTTTTCTCGTCTTCAAATTATCCAAGGCTTCGACATATAGATCGTTTGGTGCTTCCGGACTGATTTCCAAGTCGATGCG